TCTTTCCTTTATAAATTCTTCAGTCTTTGATATTTCTCCATAGCAGCATGAGAATGAACTAATATAGCAAATTGCTACCAAGTAGTAGGGCATTGCTGTAAAGATACCCCAAAATGTGGAAGCAACTTTGGAACTGGGTAACAGGCAGAGATAGGAACAGTTTGGAGGGCCCCGAAGAAGATAGGAAGATGTGGGAAAGTTCGGAACTTCCTAGATACTTGTTGAATGGTTTTGACCAAAATGCTGACAGTGATATGGACAATGAAGTCTAGGCTGAAAGAAGGTCTCAGATGGAGATGAGAATCTTGTGGGAACTGGAATAAAGGTGACTCACTATGTCTTAGCAAAGAGACTGGTGGCATTTTGTCCCTGCCCTAGAGATCTGTGGAATTTTGAACTTGAGAGAGATGATTTAGGGTATCTAGTGGAAGAAATTTCTAAGCTGCAAAGCATTCAAGAGGTGACTTGGGTGCTGTTAAAAGCATTCAGATTTATATATTCACAAGGATATGGTTTGGAATTGAAAGTTATGTTTAAAAGGGAAGCACAGCATAAAAGTTCAGAAAATTTGCAACCTGACAATGCGGTAGAAAAGAAAACCCATTTTCTGAGAAGAAATTCAAGCTGATTGCAGAAATTTGCATAAGTAGTGATAAACCAAATGTTAATCACCAAGACAATGGGTAAAATGTCTTCAGGGCATGTCAGAGGTCTTCACAGCAGCCCCTCTCATAACAGGCCCAGAGGCCTGCTGCTTTATGCAGTTTCTGGAGTTGGTGCCCTGCACGCCAGTCATGGCTAAAAGGGGCCAACATAATGCTCAAGCTGTTGCTTCAGAGGGTGCAAGCCCCAGGCCTTGGCGGCTTACATGTGGTGTTGGGCCTGAAGGTGCACAGAAGTCAAGAATTGAGGTATGTAGAACCTTCACCTAAATTTCAGAGTATGTAGGGAAATGTCTGGATGTCCAGGCAGAAGATTTTGCAGGGATGGAGCCCTTGTGGGGAACATCTGCTAGGGCAGTGTGGAAGGGAAATGTGGGCTCGGGGCTGCCACACAGTCCCCATTGGGGCACTGACTAGTGGAGCTGTGAGAAGAGGGTCACTGTCCTCCAGACCCCAGAATGGTAGATCAACCAACAGCTTGCACCAGATACCTGAAAAAGCCATAGACACTCAATGCCACCCTGTGAAGGCAGCTAGGAGGGGGGCTGTACCCTGCAAACCCACAGGGGTGGAGCTTCCCAAGACTGTGGGACCCCATCTCTTACATCAGTGTGACGTGGATGTGAGACATGGAGTCAAAAGAGATCATATTGGAGCTTTAAGATTTCACTTAATTTTGGCCAATTTCTCCCATTTGCAACGGTGTATTTACCCAAAGTCTGTACCCCCATTGTATCTAGGAAGTAACTAACTTGCTTTTGATTTTACAGCCTTATAGGTAGAAGGGACTTGCCTTGTCTCAGATGAGACTTTGAACTTGGACTTTTCAGTTAATGCTGGAATGAGTTAACACTTTGGGAGACGTTGGAAAGGCATGGTTGTGTTTTGAAATGTGAGGACATGACATTTGGGAGGGGCCAGGGCAGAATGATACAGTTTGCCTGTATCCCCACCCAAAATCTCATCTTGAATTTTAATCCAAATTGTAATCCTTATTTGTTGGGGGTAGGACCTTGTGGGAGATGATTAGATTATGGGAGTGGTTCCCCCATGCTGTTCTCATGATAGTGAGCAAGTTCTCACAAGACCTGATAGCTTTATAAGGGGCTTTCCCCCACTTCACTCAATACTTCTTTCTCCTGTTGCCATGTGAAGAAGGATGTGTTTGCTTCCCTTCCACCATGATTGTAAGTTTCCTGAGGCCTCCCCACCTATGTGGAACTATGAGTCAATTAAATCTCTTTCCTTTATAAATTACCCATTCTTGAGCATTTCTTCATAGCAGCATGAGAATGAACTAATACAATAGGATTGGTGTATTTTTTGTTATATAAGAAACAACATTTATTTTCAAAGTGGTTGTACTATTATACATTCCTACCAAAATGAGGCTTTTGGTTGCTCTGCATTTTTGCCAAATTTTGATGTTTTCCATGTAAAAATTTCAGTCATTCTGGTTTGTGTGTGTATACTTTAATTTGAATTTCTCTGAAAAATGAATGATGGTGAACAGTTTTTCACATACTCATTGGCTATTTGTATCTCTTTCTTTGTGAATTATATATTCCAGCCTTTTACCTACTGTAAAAATTAGGTTGTTTGTTTTTTTTTTGTTAGGGAGTTGTAGGAATTATTTCAGTATCCTAAATCCCAATTCTTTGTCAGATGAATGTATTTTGAAAATTTCTGCTAGATATGTGGTTTGCCTACTCATTTTTATTAACAGTGTCTTTTGATAATCAGACACTTTAGTTTTGATGAATTCTAGTTCATTATTTTTTTCTTTTACAATTGTTGCTTTCTGTGTAGTCTATAAAACCTTTGTCTATCCTCAAGTGATGTAGATACTCTTCTATGTTTTATTTCAGAAACTTCATAGTATTAACCCTAATATTTCAAATCATTTTTTGTGTATAGTATGAAGAAGGCATTGAGATTTGTTTTTTCTTTCCCTATGGGTAGATAGTTGTTTTTTCAAACTTTTAAAATACTTTCTCTGAATCACTTCATTTCATAACCACACATTATAGACATTCACTTTTTGTTAGTTTTTACTGACCCAGACTTTTCAGCTTTGTGTTGTCTTTTGGAATTTACTTTAATGTTCATTTCAAAGTTTTAAGAAGAAGAAATGAAAAACAATGATCTACAAATAGTTCAGCTCTGCCTCAGTCAGTGCCTGCTGGACTCTTCTGTCTGCCGTATGGTCAAAAGTTCTGAATAACAATAATAAGGATACAGTTAGTTCAATAAAAGGCAAATTAAGTTTGTAATAAAAGGTTCAGTTTAGCCCTAAAACTCAATTGACAGGGAAGTTTTCAATACTCATACATTTCATAATCTGTTAAAGCTTAAGAATTTTTTTGGCTTGGACTATCTTCTTCCACCAAATAACTATTGGACAATCAGAATTGAACCTGATACTAACATATGATATTCATGTTGCACTTTGCAATTTGTAAAATACTTTCACAGATAAGATAATAAGGTAGTAATTATTTATTCTGTTAAAAAAGAGAGATGAGTCAATTGAAGCTTTGAATAGTTAGGTAAGTTACCCATGGTTATCAAACTAGTGTACTAGAAAGCTAGAGCAGGAATTCAGATCTTCCGACTGTGTGAATCCAGAGGCTCCACTTCACTATACTGCCTGATGTGTATTCAATCTTCTTGCTATGAAAAATAGTTTTTTAAAAAAAATCTCTGTTAAATGTAACTTTCTCTCTTATCACTCTCTTCCTCTTCCCTTCCATCCTGATCGGTTACCTACAGAGTCCTGCACCTCTGAAATGGTTACAAAACAGCAGTACATTCAGTACTATGCAAAATGCACAGAGATACTATTTAGCAGCCTTTCAGATTTGATGCTTTGGAATAACTTAGCAAATAAATTGATTAGTTTTTATTTTAATACAGCAATATATTTCTCCTGAATATCATTTTAAAGTTCATGTGTATGTATGTATGTTTGTGTGTATATATATAGTTCTTAAATTAATAGGCTATATTTCTTAGAGCAGTTTTAGGTTTACAGAAAAATTGAGCAGCGTGTTTAGAGAGTTACCATATATTCCCTCAACTCCCCCACCACTTTTCCCTATTATTAACATTTTGTATTATTGTGGTACATGTGTTACAATTTATGTGCCAACACTGACACATTATTATTAACTGAAGTTCATAGTTAACATTAGGGTTCACTCTTTGTGTTGTACATTCTATGGATTTTGACAAATGTATAATGACGTGTATCCTCCATTATAGTATCATAAGGAGTACTTTCACTGCCCTAAAAATCTGCTATTCATCCCTGTCTCCCCCAGCCCCTGGAAACCACTGATCTTTGTACTGTCTCCATAGTTTTGCCTTTTCCAGAATGATATTGGAATCACCAGTATGCAGTCATTTCAGATTGGCTTCCTCTACTTAGCAATGTGCATTAAAGTTTTCTCCATGTCTTTTACAGCTTGAAAGTTCACTTCTGTTTATCATTGAGTAATATTTTAGATCTATCACAGTTTGTTCATCCTTTCACCTATTGAAAGACATCTTCGTCACCCCCAAGTTTTGGCAATGATGAATAAAGCGACTTTATAAATACTTGTGTGCAGGTTTTTGTGTGGACATAAGTTTTTATGTATAAAAAAGACGATTATTTTCTGTTCTCAGATATGAAATATAGTAGTTTGAGAGTGATAATTTCAGGTGGATATCTTCTACTCGATTTCATGTAGTACTTTCTGCTTCCTGTAAGCTTTGAGGAAAAGTTTGAATACTCTTGTTTTTTTTTTTTTAAAATCAGAAACGTGATGACATTTTGAGCAAGTAGATGCAATGCGGTTATGTCACTGCATTTAGCCAAAAAGCTCCAGGCCATTTATATATGTCAGTGTCTCCTTCCCCAGTGATCCTGAAAAGCAAAGAAGCTGGTTTTTGAAGTTAAGACTTTAGGAGAACATCTGCGAACATTAAGGAAACTGAAAATCACTGTGTCCATTAGGAAAACAATTGGATTAAATACAGTACACTCAAGATCAGCTCCACTTTTGTAAAGTATAAATATGGATTTTTTTAAGAGATGGGGGAGACACTCCAGCTCATGAAGAGATGAATCAATTCCCTTTGTAAGAGAAACAAATGGGAAATATAAATTCTCTTCAGAAATGAAACGTTTAAACCGGACATACATACAGAAGGCCTTTGACTGAGAATCATTCCTAAGTCCCTCCAGAAAGGACACTTGAGTGTCTCAAGGAATCTGTATGAATCCGTCTATGATCATTGTAAGAACCCCAGAGCATGTTAGCTTTTTGTAAAATACACCTCTCTATTTTCTAGTGTGTCAGGAAGCTGTCTGGGAAGCCTTCAGGACTTTTTGGGATCGACTTCCTGGGCGTGAGGAATATCATTACTGGATGAATTTGTGTGAGGATGGAGTCACAAGTATATTTGAAATGGGCACAAATTTTAGTGAATCTGTGGAACATAGAAGCTTAATCATGAAGGTAAGTGTCACAACAGAGGAATGAATTCCTGGGCTATTGTAGGAGGATATACACAGCTAAAGCCTAAAGGAAGCAAAAGCAAGTGGCAAATGCCTGTATTATTCTTTTGTTGAACTGGGCTATCCGAGTAAGCAGCCCTAGCATGTGGCCTAGTCTTTTATTCCTAGCTCTGGTCTCTATAATATACATTATTAATATTTTCATGTTATTCTGTCTACAAAAAGAAAAAGAAGACATTATTAACTCAGACAAGAGCCTCAGCCTTGTTTATAGATGTAAATATTTGGAAATAATATTCAGCAAAGATTTAGGTTAAGAATATAAATCTGTGACAGCCAAATGTTTTCGCCAAAGTTTTACATGTTATCAACTCAGAGTGAATAGCAATAACTCTAATTAAGACAGAGGACATAGTTCATTTGAATAAATGTTAGTGAGGCATAGGTATGATTCTAATAATGAGTGTGCTCACTTGTTTTCCTTGTTTTAAACAGTGTTTTACTCTTAGCAAAGGATAAGTAAATATGCAGAAAGATGAATTACCTGCCACTTTTCCCTTTTCATGTAGCACATATGTATTCATGACAAGACAGTGAAACTGTCCAGACATATGTGGCAAATTGTTCATGCTGTTTGTTATTCCGTATATCTCCCTGTCCATCTATTCAATTCCTCTCTGTCCTCATATGTAACTTCCCTTGCAAGGAACCAACCCTCAGCCTAGAAGATTTAGCTACCCTAATCCTTTGAGCTCCCACAATTCTTTATTCATTTTTAATACTGTACTTTTTATATTTTATGATGATTAGTTGTATATGTGACTAATTCCTCTGCTAGACTGTAAGGCACAAGGCAAGGATTATGTCATTGTTCATTTTTGCTTTCCCGTAAGGTAGTAAAGCTGCAATAGATATTTGTTTAAATGACTATACAAGCAATAACTATATTGTATTTTTTTACTTGGTACAATTTGTAAGCTTTATGAAGATTATTTTAAGTACTGGTTCTAAGTATTATATACTTTACAGAGACTGAGGAAATAATTACTGACTCAATAACACTGAGCTATTTTGTGTATAATCAAATCAGATTAGTATATCGTAAAGGTAATAAAACATATTATCCTATTCTATTTTAAAATTTTATTTATAGTATAAGAATTATATTATACTCTTAACATTTAGTCCAAAAGAGGAATGATCTTATTAAATGGGGGATGTTGGGGAGAGAAGGATGGTTTGATAAACATGGGTGGACTAAAGACAAATTTTGCAGGGGTACAAATGTTTTGAAGCTGTGCAGGGTTTTGTGTGTTTTAAAATGAACGCAACTTTTAATCATGGCACCTCACATTTTAATCAAAGGTATTGCATGTGTTTTTTTGCTTGTCACATTTTTAACTGCTCAGCATTAATAACTATGTTAAAAGCTACTATTTTTTCAGTATCTACCATGTACCACGTCATGTATCAAACTCATTAATAAGTTATTAGATGTTATAACGGTAACCTTACAGGGAGGTGGTAATATCCCCATTTTACAGATAAGGACATAGAATTATTAAATTCTTTATTCTATAACATTAAACCAGATATGATGGAGCTTAAATCCAAATCCAGTTCTCTTTTCCAAAATTGGTTTTCTTTCCTTCACACCATTGGGCCTCCTTTCTCAATCATTACCAATTTTACAAATTGCAGTGGCTAACATGGGATAGCTATTTAAGGGAAACTATATAGACATACACACACATATACATACTTATATTTCTAATTGTGTTGCCTATCTTAATGATGTCCACAATATAGGATCAGCCATTAGTGTAGCAAATATATATGATGGGTTAGTATTACCAGAAGAACACAATCTTCTGATGTTACTTTGGAATGTATCTCTTACAAGTGGAACTTTTAGTAAATTTAGATTTGAAGGCATAGAAAATATTCTTCCAATAATTATTCAATAGAAAAAGCAGATGAAGGGAATGATGTGTTGCCTGGATAGAGTTGTAAATGATAAGTACAAGTTAGTTAAATGAGGAAGATTGGGGATAAACATTCTAGCAGAAAGGACAGCATGAGCCAAGTGTTTGTAGGGAATGACCTGGACCAATATACCAAAAAGTAGACTAGGAATGACAGGAGATCAGACTGAAAAAATGGATAACTGAACTAGCTTGGATTTAACTCTGTAGATCTTAGGAAACCATTGAAGGGTTGTAGGTAGGTAAGTTGCAGGAACTGATTTGGCAGTTTTGAATTTTAAAAAGGTCGTTATGGTTTCTACATAGCATAGGATGGATTATGGGAGATAAAGCTGGAGCAGAGAGACAAGGTAGGGTGTTGCTTCAGTACTCCAGGCCAAGGAGGATAAGGATACCAACCAGACCATGAGATAGACAAAGGGAACTTGAGAGATGTAAACAGGAACAAAATTAGCAGGACTCTGATGGGTTGAGACAGGCTGAAGGAATGGCCCAGGAAGCCTTCCAGTTTCTAGCTTGGGTAACTAAACCAATAACTGGGGCAAAGAAGCAGCTTTGTAGATGTGGCAGGGAGAATGAGTTCACTTTTGATGTGTTCATTTGAAACACCTGTGTGAAATATGAATTGCTTGATATTTAGGTATGAAGCCAAGGATAGGGGTTTGGGATGTCAGTGTTGCTATAGGAATCACCATTTTGGACTTAGCGCAGGCATACCTCGTTTTATTGTGCTGCCCTTTATTGTGCTTCACAGATACTGCAGTTTTTTACAGATCAAAGGTTTATGACAACTCTGTGTCAAGCAAGTCTGTTGGTGACATTTTTCCAACAGCCTGTGCTCAGTTTGTGTCTCTGTCTCACATTTTGGTAATTCTCAAATTATTTGAAACTTTAAAAAATTATTTTCTTTATCTCTTATGTAATCTGTGATCAGTGATCTTTGATTATTACAATTACAATTACTATTGTAATGGTTCTGGAGTGCCATGAACAATATCCATGTAAGACAACAAGTTTAATCGATAAATGTTGTTCGTGTTTCAGCTACTCTACCCACTGACTGACTACCCCTGAGGTCTCTTTCCGTCTCCTCAGGCCTCCCTGTTCCCCGAGATACAGCAATATTGAGATCAGGCCAGTTAATAACCCGACAATGACTTCTAAGTGTTCAAGTGAAAAGAATAGCATGTCTCTCACTTTAAATCAAAAGCTAGAAATGATTAAGCATAGTGAGGAAAGTATGTCAAAAGCTGAGATAGGCCTTAAGCTAGGTCTCTTGCACCAAACAGTTAGCTAAGTTGTGAATGCAAAGGAAAAGTTCTTGAAAGAAATTAAAAGTGGGGGTCGGGGCCAAGATGGCCAACTAGAAGCAGCAGCAATCTGTGGCTCCCATCTAAAAGAACCATAACAGCATGTGAGTCCTGCACTGGCAGCCGAGGTATCCAGGTTCTGTTATCAGAACTGACTAGGCAGCTGGCGTGACACACAGAGAGGAAGGAAAAGCAGTGTGGTGCCGCGGGCCCCAGCCAAGGGAGGCAGTGAATGAGCCTGCTACCCAGCCTGGGAAAACGTGCTTTTTCCATGGAACTGTGCAACTCACGGATCAGAAGATCTCACTTGTGAGCCCACACCACCGGGGCCTAGGGTCCCAACCACAGAACCCAGCAGATTTTCAACAGCCACTAAGCTAGAATCTGCTTAAGCCTGCAGAGCTCCCAGCAGGAGGGGCAACCAGCACCACAGCTGCGGCTGCCTGCTGTCTAAGCCCTTTGAGCTCCTTGCAGGAGGGGCTATGGCCAACAATGGGACCGATAGCTACCTAACACACTAAGCTCCCAGGCGGGGGAAGGGGGGCAGCCATCTCTATAGCTCCAGGCCATGTCTTTCCTCTGCTGGAGCCAGGGAGGCTGGACTGCTTTGTGCCAAGAAGTATCCCCCACAGCCCAACACACTGGCTGTGGCAGACTGCAGATAGAGCGCCTCTTCAGGCCGGACCTTGACACGTCCCTCCTCACTGGGCGGGGCCTCCCTGCAGGAACTCCAACAACTCCATCCAGGGGCTTAGGGACAGACTCTAATCTCTCTGGATCTGAGCCTCTAGGGGGAGGGGTGACCACAGTCTCCGTGGACTGTCAGACTTTAGCCTTCCCTCCTGGTAGTTCTGAGGAATCTGGGTAGCCCAGATGAGTGAGTTTCCCCACAGTGAAGCACACTCCCTCCACCAAGGGACAGTCAAAGTGCTTCGTTAAGTGGGTCCTGTTCCCTATGCTACCCAACTGGGTGAGACCCTCTAACGCAGTTTCTTCACAGTGTCTCCTGTATAGGGGTTGTCAGACACCCTATACAGGGGCATTTCTACTGGCATCAGGTTGGTGCCCCTTGAGGTCAGATATCACAGAGGAAGGAGCAGGCACCCATCTTTGCTGTTCTCCAGTCTCCTCGAGTGACATCTCCAGGCATGGGAATGAATCAGATGAAGAGGGGCTGAAGTGAACCCCTTGCAAACGGCAGCAGCCCTGCAGAAGAGGGACCTGACCATTGCAAGAAAAACAAACAAACAAACAACAACAGCATCAACAACAAAAAATTCCCTACAAAAACCGAATCCAAGGGTCAGCAGCCTCAAGGATTAATACTAGACAAACTTATGAAGATGAGAAAGAATCAACAAAAAAAGGTTGAAAACCCAAAAGGCCAGAGTGCTGCTTCTCCTCCAAATGATTGCAGTGCCTCTCCAGCAAGGATGCAGAACTGGATGGAGGATAAGACGGATGAATTGACAGAAGTAGGCTTCAGAAGGTGGGTAATCACAAACACTGCGGAGCTAAAGGAGCATGTTCTAACCCAATACAAACAAGCTAAGAACCTTGATAGAATGTTATAGGAGCTGCTAACTCGAATAACAAGTTGAGACAGGTATGTAAATGACCTGATGGAGCTCAAAAACATAGCATGAGAACTTCATGAAAAATACGCAAGTATCATAGCCAAATCGACCAAGTGGAAGAAAGGATAT